TATATATACACACACACATAGTTATAAGTTAAGTTGAAACCCTGTGCACATAAGTCCCCTTTTCTAGTAACCTTGAGCTATTGTAATAGTGTTTTGCTGTGTGTGTTGGATTACTGTAATGTATTACACCGTTTGGTTATTGTGTGTTAAGTGTCTCTATGTTAATACTGTATGGTTTAGGCCTGTGTCTGTAAAGTAATGTCAAGTTTCCATCTTGTAATTTCAAGCCTACATCTTATGTCCTTTGATGTTGTAACCTATGACTCATACGTACCGCTCCTATGTAACTTGGTTCCTGAATGAATGGGGATGAATGAGGGTGCTTGAGAGACAATGCCAGTAGGTCTAAAAATTGCTCCCTCTGAATGACTGAACCATCCACTCAATCACCCATCCGTCACCCTACATTGACCCTCCCTGGCTCAAGATTTGAAAGACAAAGACTGCTGCAGAAGCCAGCCAACCCACCATTACAGACACCTGAAACTGCATGTCTGTGCCTGGAGTGCACATGCTCAGTACACCAGGGGCTGACCCTTGCCTGGGCATGCCCCCTGCCACCGGGGTCATAGAAGGGCTGTCCCTATAAAAGGGGGCTGTGAAGATAGACCCAGTGGGATGCCATTTTCACTTAGACCAGACTAGCTCCATGTCACGCTGCCTATCAACCATGCCAGCGACCGCCCCCTCTGGACAACAGTTGCTGGAGAAAGACCCTAACTGGCCAGCAAGGACACCCTCCCAGCCTGCATAGGTAGCTATCACCCCTATCCTCTCTTTAATCCCAAGTCAGTCCACACACAGCATTAATGCACTTAAATGCACACATGTGTAGATGCTGGCCTATTTGCACTTACCACACAGTAATTTACTGCACAGTAAATTTAAGACAGTGTAAATGCACATGCAGACAAGCCCAATATGTAGGCTTGTTGAAATGGATCCCTACATTTCTCTGGTTGGACTTAAGCTTTAGTGAATGTTTGCCAGTGTGGCTATGCTATTTTGTGGTGAACCTATTTTCATTTGGAAAAAAAACTACCCTCTTCATACACGAAGTTATCTGAATTTGTGTGCACAAATACTCATTCACATGAGCAAAACTGTACATGCACAATTTATCCCATCAAGCATTTTTAGGTGCAGTTTTGGCAGCCCGCTCAAGGTTTGGCCCTTAATTATCTTTGTCATCTAAAAATATTCCAAATTTAGATAAAAAACTGGGGGACTGTGGTGTCGACACCTACACAGTCAAATGGGTCACCAACTGGCTGGAGGGCTGCACCCAGAGAGCGGTGGTGGATGGGTCATTTTTGACCTGGAGGGATGTGGGCAGTGGGGCCCCCAGGGCTCGGTCCTCGGGCTCGCACTGTTCAACATCTTCATCAGCGACTTGGACCGGGGGTAAAAAGCACCCTGTTCACATTTGCTGATGACACTAAGATGTGGGGGGATTTGGGCACACTAGAAGGGAGGAATAGGCTACAGTTGGACCTAGACAGGTTACAGGGGTGGGCGGATGAGAATAGGACGGGATTCAACACTGACAAGTGCAAGGTGCTGCAGCTGGGGAGGAAGAACCAGCCCCATACCTACAGGCTGGGGAACTCCCTTCTCATCAGTGCAGAGGCAAAAAAGGATCTTGGAGTCATCACTAATTCAAGATGAACCTGGGCCGGCAGTGTGGGGATGGACTCAGGAAGGCCAACTGCACCTTGTCATGTATCCACAGATGCATCTCGAGCAGGTCCAAGGAGGTGATCCTCCCCCTTTATGTGGCACTGGTCAGGCCACAGCTGGAGTAC